AAAGTCGAAATATCTTGATAACATGTATTTAGATTATTAAGAAATAATTATAATTATAATTTTTATTTATTTTGAATTCACGGCACCGCTCTCGCCGTGGTGAATGCCCGCGTTAATGCTTGAGCTTTCTGGTTGAACTATTTTGGCGACATGCATCACAGGTATCGATGAACCAATTAATTAATGCCTCTATACTAATAAAATCAAACTCAACAACTTTATCTAACCCTCTCGTGAATTAAAAATTTCCCTTGCATGTGATTTCCACATAATCACTTTTTTTTTTATGTACATTGGATGCCTCAAATTCAAAATATACTACATTTTATCCTTTATTTTCTTCATTCGAGCTAATCTTACTTATTAACGGGTTGAATAAAAAAACATAACAATTAACTAATCACTTCAAGTGGTATTTTTTTAAAAATTATTTGGTACATTTCTTTAGTTTTAATGTTTGAAATCTGTTAATATGAATCATTTAATTGAGAAAGTATTTGGTCATTTTATTCAATTTTTGTGGTAAAGGTTTCTGGTTTGCACTCCAAAGTATACAGTAGTTATATCTAGGTGCACAATTAAATAATGTACTATCTTCACCCTTCAGACAGATAAATAGGTGAAAGTAACACATAACCTTAATCATGTGAAATTTAAGCATAAATATCTACTCTTGACATCAAATATAATGTTTTAAATATCAAAAACTATAGCTCAAAACAATGATATAAATTAGGTTAGTGAAAAGGGAAATTTCTCCAAGTGATCAACATTTTATTACAAATCATAAAATTTATCATAATTTATTTTCTTTTTTAATAATAAGAGATATAAGGGTGTCGTTAAATGTTAATACAATTTCAAACAAAACAGTTTTCTTTAACTTTTAATTTGCAAGACCATTATTAATCTTATTTTTAAAAAATGAATTTTAAATTTAATTCACAAAAACTTCTTATGTAAAACTATATATATTAATGACATCCAATAGTGAACGAATAAATAAACCAACAAATAATAAACTTTATTAGATAATCTTTAAAACATTTTCATACTATCTTAAAAAATTGACTAGTCTAATTAAATTCTAAAAAGGATTTATAAAGTAAAAACTATATATTTGTATTTATATATTATAAAATGTTGTTATCTCATACCACTTAATTTTTTTTTTTAAAAGTGTACAATAAACTTGTGGGGTCATCTCAATGAAAAAGTTAAAAAAGATGGATTTGTTTCAACTAACCAACAACCACTGTGCATGTACCCAGAAGGAAGATGTTGAATCAGAAATTATAAACAAAAGGGTAAAAATATATTAGAAGTTTATGCATGTTATATTTGATTGTAAAATATATCTTCTATGTCTATATTCTGTCTGAGAAAGAGTACAGGCAAAGAATACAAGGCTGAGATATTGATTTTCTCTTTTGGGCACTTCACTCCACCTTGAGTGGATGTTGTTAGCTTTATGGCACATGCACGATGATAAGGGTAACCTTTTTTATTGTTTGTGGTCCTCCTTTTGGCTATGCCTGTGACGGTGACCTCAAGCTACTTACTTCTGTCACCTTCACCATTTCACGTATATTATAAGAAAACAAATATTGTTTAGAATTTTCAAAACGACCACATGATTTGATCGAACCCGGTTTATCACGAATTGGTTACTTAGTAAGTTCACCCAATTCGACTCATTTATTAGCAAATCAGAAAAATTCGAACTCGGTTCAACCCATCACAGGTTGATGGATAAATGGATTGACTCACTGACTCACTTAATTACAATTCTTTTTAAATAAAAACAAATTACAAACCTTCTATAATTTAAATCTAAACAAATTTCAATTTCAAGTGTTTAATTAATTTTGAAAATAAAAAACTTAAATAAAATTTTCAAACAAAAACAAAATAATAAATATTTTTTTATAAAATTAAAATTAAATTTTAATAAAATAAAATTAGGTAGGTTGGTTGGTGGGCCAACCCGGCCCACCACGGATTCAACCCGCATGAACCGGGTTTAAATGAACCGGATTATAATCTGTATAAAAAAAGAACAATTTTTTTAAACCCAACCTGCTTCAAACCTGTGGTGGACTGAATTAAGTCGCGGGTTGTAACCCATTTTGACAGCTATAACTATGTTACTCATTTAAAAATATAAAAAAAAACTTTAACTTTAAAATCTCTCACCTTAAATCATAAGATAACATCATTACAATTAAATACTACGTTTAAGATATTATATTTTGAAAATCTTATAAAATAAACTTCAATAGGTTAAACTCGATGACAGTCTAATTCTAATAATAGTTTTTTTGAACATTTTACTAATAATTGAGTGTTTAGTCTATAACTTATTCGAGATCATACAGTAAAGTAAATATTATTCTACATTCCAATATAAATATAATTAGTATTCGTCAATAAATATTAATTATAATTATTATCACTTCATAACTTTTTTAGTACTTGAATATCAACAATCAAATCATTATTGAAATTTAGTCACTTATTTATCTGTTCACATGTTCACGCTATTCAAATAAAAATATATCTAAAATTTATTATAAAAAAATTATTATTTATTAAACTCATGTGTCATTTATGTGTCTTAGGAGCTTGACATTAAATATACTCGCAGAGAAAATAAAAAAAAATGATATTTAGGCAAATAAGTTGATTAAACTGAAGGGAAGACCCACGTGTAAGTAGGGACATCATGCACAACTAGGATAGCAATGTTTCATAGTTTTCATGTTTCGTGACAATATTAGTCTCATCATAGTGGCGGAAAAAGGGGTCGCAGTTTCTTCAGTTTTTATTACAGTTCCCCAGCCCATCTAGCACCTTATAATGTACTTTCGTGTGCACCCTGCAATTTCACCTGAAAAATCCACTGGTAGCATAAGAGTGTTCATTTCAGGTATTACAAAACTAATACTAAACTAAATAGCTTTAAAATTGCTACGTAATTGTGTGAATTCCGTAAAAAAAAATGTTTTTCTAATAACTTTTTTACGTAACAGAGAGTGATGGGTCTGTTTTAAATATACGGATCAATAAAATATGACACATAAATTATTATAAAAAATGACATTTTACGAATGTGACTTTCAAAATATGTTTCGGAAACTTTTTAGAACAAGATTTTTGAATTTTTTTAGAATAAAATTTTCGAAACAAGATCTTGGAACATAATAAATGCATTTCAGAATTAGAATTTTGGGAAGAAACTTTTTGTAACTCATACAATGCCTCTCCGAATGAGTTTTTCGAAACATCCCTACATGATACATGTTCTGAAAATAATTTTCCGCACACATAAAATGTATTTCGAAAATAATTTTTCGGAATGAATTTTTTTTTCCACGTTTTTCCGTGATTGTGGGTTGCAGAAAGCAAAAGTCTAACTATGGACAAAAAGTGCCATTCAGCCCATTAAAGTTTTTCATAACTTTGTTTTCTTACTTCAAAACCAACCCATAAAAAAAATAAGAGTGTTTTATCCTACACCTCCAAGATCTCATCCTGCACCTCCAAAAATTCCACTTTTAACCTTCTGACATTTCATCATTATCCTACACCTTTAACTTTATAGAAAATTTTATTTTTAATTTTAATAAATATATTTTTATTTTCTTCTTTTTCTTGTTAAAAAGACTCTATATCACCTTAATAATAACTAAATTTAAAATTCAAATATTATTTAATATAATTTCATATTTTAATAATTATTAAAATATGATTTATGTTATAATAATAATTATATTAAAAATATAAAAATAAAATAATTAAAAATAAAAATAATAACAAAAAGGTAAATTATATTAAATAAAATATTTAATATATTCAAATATATTAAATTATATTAAAATATTAAATTAAATAATTATTAAAATTTAAATAATAAAATTTTTTTTAAAACACTTATTTAACAAATAAAATTATATTAAATAAAATATTTAAATATACTAAATTATATTAAAATATTAAATTAAATTAAATAATTATTAAAATTTATATATAAAATAAAATTTTAAAAAATCTTTATCGGATATCTATATCCGATTAACAAATTTTTCAAAATTTTATTTAAGTTTAATATTTATTAAATTTTAAATAAAAAGCAAAGTATTAACATATTTTATAGATTTTAATATATAAATAAACTTTTTAAAATTTTCATTTTTATTTAAAATTTAATAATTATTTAATTTATTTTAATATTTTATTATAATTTAATATATTTGAATATATTAAATCAAATTTATTTTTATTATTATTTATTATTGTTATTATTTTATTTTTATGTTTTAATATAACTATTATTATAATATAAATTATATTTTAATAATTATTAAAATACAAAATTATTTTAAATAATATTTAAATTTTAAAATAAATTAAATTAAGTTATTATTAAGGTAGTGAAGATTATTTTTAATAAAAAGAAAAGAAAATAGAAAAATATTTATTAAAGTTAAAAGTAAAGTTTTAAAAAAGTTAGAGGTGCAGGATGATGATGAGATGTCAGAAGGTTAAAAGTGGAATTTTTGGAGGTGCAGGATGAGATCTTGGAGGTGTAAGATGAAACACTCAAAAAATAATATCAAGACATTAAAGCTGCCGAACCATGATAACGATTTTACAATAGAGCTTTTTCTTGCACCCCACGTTTTTCTTCCTGTACCCCTAACTTTTCTAAAAGAACAAAAATAGACCTTGACTGCTGATGTGGTTGGTGTTATTTTTCTAATTAAACTTAAGGCAGGTCATCAAACAACATCTCTATAATATGACACTGTATTTAAATTTTGCTTTCTATAATAATATTATAACTTAATATTTTTTGGGAAATATGAAATTAACAATAACATTTTTTCTCTGACTAAATTACTTTATAATTTTATAGTTTTTAATAACTTTTATCTAATAAAAAAACACTAAAAAGGTTGTGTTTTTAGGAGATGTAATAATGTCTTTATAATTAATTCATTTTATGTGGAGTGGCTCTGCCAATTGCCACCATGTTTTGTTCCTCAGCATCTTATCCATGGGGAATGGCAGAAGTTGTAACAAGATTTCAACATGGTTTGCGCTAGTTCACTAATCCACCCAGCAAGCACCGTTTTAGTATCTTTGCCATCAATCCAAAGGCAAAAACGTGGTATGTGAATGTGACCTTTCATCATGAGCATAGCAATTATGAACTGTTATTTATTTAATTCCTCCCATATTCATGATACTTTGAACCCATTCTCACAGGGAATGTGTTATGCAATAATAAGGTAAGAAAACAAAGAGTAGCATCAATGTCTGTTGGTAACCAGAAAAATCAGAATTCAGAAGTAGCAAGTGTAAGAGAAGGTGAAAGGCTCTATCTGGGGTTTGACTTTGGCACATCTGGTGCCAGGTTTACCATAATCGACAAAGATGGAGCAATTCGAGCTGAGGCAAAGAGAGAGTACCCCTTGTACTTGGTATCACTCTATTTTCCGTTTTAAGTTCCCAGCATATGATAAATTGAATTAATTCTGTGTTTGTTTAACATATGAAATGAAGGTTTGTGCAATTGTTGATTCCGAGGTTTCTGTTTGTCTTGTCTAGAAAGAATGGAGAGTCACAGGATTGGGTACGCTCATGGAAGGAGACACTGTTTTCTTTGCTTGAAGATGTCCCACTTGACATTCGCAAACACGTTGTGGCTATTTCAATTGACGGGACTTCTGCCACTACTCTCATTGTTGATAGGTGGATGAGTATTGACCTGCACTTTTTGATTTTGTTTAATTCCTTTGTGTTGATTTGAATTGTATGTAAGATTGTGTATCTGAATTCTGAATTCTGAAGTAAGAATGCGAATCTGGTGTTGCAGTTACACAGGGGAACCGTTGTGGAGACCTTTTCTTTACAATGAGAGTTGTTCTGATGCATTACCAGTGGTGAAGTCTATTGCTCCTCCAAACCATACGGTTTGCACTGGATCGTCCACTCTGTGTAAACTTGTCTCTTGGTGGAATCATGTTGGTTCGGATAAAAAACCTGCTTTGTTGTTGCACCAAGCAGATTGGCTTTTGTGGCTTCTTCATGGAAAGCTTGGAGTTACAGATTATAATAATGCTCTCAAGGCATCATTTAATAACTCTATCACCATTCTGGGTTTTCACAGCTAGGAGATTTATGTCTATGCTGCAATATTAACCATCTTTTTTTTTTTTGTTTTGTTTTGCAGGTTGGCTATGATCCTGAAGTGGATTCGTATCCTTCGTGGTTAGTGTGTCAACCATATTATCATCTTTTACCTTCAGTTCTTGCTCCCGGAACTCCAATTGCTTGTTTAAAGGAGGAAGTTGGAAATAAATATGGTATGTTTTCTTTGTACATTGATTGCAAGTGCAATGAGAATCTGTACCTAAAATACCCTTTGTGGTAATATATTCCATTTAAAAGAGCCTTCTATAAACGAAATTAAACATATATGTTTAGGTTACAGTCTCCAGTTTTTAGTGGTAAAGCTTATTATTAATATGGCAATTGCTAACTTTAGGGACATCAGGTAGGGGGAGAAACAATGTTTTGTATTTGTTGAGAAATAGGGTTTGTCTGATACACAACATAAAAATTGATGAATACTTAGCCTTTTTCATCGATTGAACATTTAATAGTTGTATTGAATACTAGTTGAGTAGACTCTCTCACTTGTTTGTTACTAGGATCTATTAATAAGGTTCTTTATCTTTCCAATTTGTTATGTGCAACCTTATGTGGGTGTTGTTTTCTATTCAGATTAGTGCCTTCTTTAGAGTTGAGACAATGCTTTTCCATCTTGACCTCTAATAAACTTGCTATCCAAGTTGCACATTATTTTTGTATTTGTGTGCACTATTTGGTGTTGTGATATAATATAAGGACATCAGAATCTCTTTAAACATCCTGAATAAAACCTTACTTCTATAGAATTGAAAATCATGTGTACTTTACATCCTTTCAGGTTTTCAAAAGGACTGTGTTGTATGCACCGGAACCACCGACAGTATAGCTGCATTTCTTGCAGCTCGTGCTAGCCAACCTGGGAAAGCTGTAATCTTCTTTTTAACTAAACTTATCTTTTACTTTTGCTTATTAAGACTACTTCAGTTTTATAGGAAGCTGTATTTATGGATTGCTAATTAAACTGGAAACTTCGTAAGTTTCATGATTTTGTATTCAGTTTAGCATCCAAAAATAATGTTGAAGCTTATTAGCTTCAAGAATGGAATTTTTCTGTAGTAATATTTTGTCAACTATGATTTTTGCATATGTCTTTCTGCTAAACCATCTCTGACAGTTGCAGATCATGTTCCTTATCAATGCTACTATGACGTTTTTTATAACTTGGTTTCTCGTACTCTTCTTGGTAGGTTACTTCATTGGGTTCAACACTGGCTATTAAACTACTCAGCAATACAAGAATTGAAGATTCTCGGTTTGGGGTTTACAGCCATCGACTTGATGATAAATGGCTAGTTGGTGGTGCTTCAAACACTGGTGGAGCAATCCTTAGACAGCTTTTCACCGATAACCAATTAGAAAAACTGAGTGAACAGATCAATCCCTCACAACCTTCTCCTCTGGATTACTATCCCCTGCCCAAAGCAGGTGAAAGATTCCCGGTAGCAGATCCAAATTTGGCTCCAAGGTACTGAATCCTTTCTGCTTTATCATTGGATCACTCATTTTTTGGAATTCAATTCCCATTTCAATTTTGGCTTGTTTGGAATCTGTTTATAATATTCTGCCAAAAAGTCTCTTAACATGAACAAAACAAGTGCTGACCGAAAAAGAATCGTTAAAATAAGTTATCAATCGAAGGGAAAGTTTTGGGTGATTGTGCCAATTTTTAGAATGGAGAAATGACATCTCAAGTTCAATATACAAAGAATCAGCATTAATTAGATCTTAAAAGTCTGGTTCATTTTGGGTCTTGTGACAAAGCCAATTTTGGTTCTGCTAACTGTACCATTCAAAAGGCGAATTTTAACTCAACCACAAATCAGTCTTAACTTATAGCAGAAAGTATAGCTGATTTCAATTTTTTATTTTCTACTTTTAAGTGTTTACTGAAAACTTAATCTAAACAAGTCTGAAAGACTTTTCATTTTCATAACCAAGTTTGAATTCTTGGGCAGGCTTCATCCACGTCCTGAAAATGATGTTGAGTACCTGCATGGGATTTTAGAATCCATTGCGCGTATAGAGGTAAAACTGAAAATCTTCTGACTCAGTTGAAACACTGTCTTAGTTTCATACTTTTGTTGAAACATGTGGATCTTCACGCATCCACTAGAGCCAAATATGAAAGACTCTTGAATGGTATTTTAGGCAAAGGCATATGAGTTGCTAAAGGAGCTAGGAGCAACCCAGGTAGAGGAAATTTTCACTGCTGGTGGAGGAGCCAAAAATGAGAAGTGGATAAAGATTCGTGAGAGGGTGCTTGGTTTGCCTGTGAGTCGTGCAAATCAAACAGAAGCTGCATATGGAGCTGCATTATTGGCAAAAAAGGCTGATCAACAAAATATTCCTTCATAACATTATTGCACTCCACCTGTTTGATCATGGTAACCAGGAGTATTTCTCATGCAACTTGTTCTTATGAAAATGAAATTGAAATCCGAAGAATGTTTCAACATGGATACCACAGTGATGTTAATTTGTCTTCTTTGGATTAAGAATAATGAGATTTTGACATCTCTATTATTTCATATAACTATTATATAATGAAATATAATATTTTATTATTAAAAATATATGTTATTTATGCGTTGAACTGCATCATCAAACACTGTTTGAAAAGCCAGATAAACAAAAATAATAATTTATTGAAAATACAGAAAGTACTGCAAGTTATTGCGCCGATGAGAGAAAGGACAGTGTTGAATTCACTAATCTGAAATTTGTGGTACCTATAAGCACGTGGGTCCATGAAATGATTACGCCTTTCTAATCCATCTTCGACACCCCTTCTTCCCAGATCTTCATCATCATCAATGATCCAAGATTCACCTTTGCGTATACCAAATTTTTAGCCCCCAAAAAAAACAAAAAATAATATATATATATATATATATATATATATCATATGACATTACGTGATTAGTGAATTACATTTTGCGCTGATAATAAAATAAGATTATCTCTCAACAATACTCTTAAGTTGCAATTAGAACATTGTCAAGAAGGAGTCAAATTTCTTAAACACATCCTTAATTTATTATATAAGGTTTACAAGATGTCGAATTTGATCATCCTAAACTCAACCCATCCTTTGAGTGTCTTGTCATACCGAAGTGACTTACATGTGTTGAAAATCTACTAAGAGGATTCAAAATCATTAGACATCTCTTTATTTGCGTTTTAGCAACCAAGTATAACTTAAACTCCTATAATATATACGCGTAAAACATATCCCTTGTTTCAAGTTTTATTGTTTAAAAGACCATCATATCCATTGAACAACATGCTTCAAGAGGAGATAGAGTTGCTCAATCCTTCTATCGTTCAAGCTACAATCTCTAGCTTTAGCTACATAGTCAATTGCTTACAAGTTCAAGCGTTGTTGGAATAATGGTGTTGATGGTGAATAATATGGGAAGGCGGTTGTTGTTGATGATATTTATTAGTTTTTCAGAGAACCAAGTGCTAAGATTTGTTTGGGGAATAGTATGGGAAGGTATTTATCTAGATTTGGTAAAATTTGAAGGTGATTTAGATCGTATGACATGAATGTGATAAAACATATGGAGTTGTGCTTTACTTTATTCTGTGGGACATTTGGATTGTCAGGACAAGTTTTAGATGATAAAAAGATAAATGACATAAGATTAGTAAAAGCACATAAAAGAATAATAAAAAAAATAAAAAGTAAAAAGACAATGGACATAGAAAAAAATGACAATGAATAATAGAAAAAAATACAAGGAATTAGAAGTAACATAAAAAAATATTATCTTCTTAAATGCACGTAAGTTTAGAGATTGGTTAAGACTCTTGATATACTTTTTAAATGAATGCTTAAAAAAGACACAAGAAAAATATCATTTAAAAAACTCAAATAAGCAAGTAATACTTTTGTAGGATGTCAAAATAGACTGTGATTTGTGGTTAGTATGTAAAAATTGGCCAAAATAAGTCAAATGGGATTTGCTTGAGTCCCTAAGTTGCTCAAAATAGTGACAAAAGTGGTAGAATGCAATTTGGATTCATAAGTTGAAGTTTGGTAGATTTTAGAGTGGAGTATGGTTAGGAAACACTTTACATTGATGTTAGTGAGGTTTTGAAACACTTGTCCATGTGTAATTAAGTCTATAAAATAATTTAGGAGGATTTGAAGTTGGAAAAAATATTTGGAATTGGTAAATTTGGTGTAGGTTGAGTAATTCTGCAGATTTGGTACTGCAGATTATGCAGACTCACTAAGCGAGTAGAGTCGCTCAGCAAGTGATCGTGAATGTTAGCTCTCTGTTTGTTGGTTCGCACAGCGAGAAGGGTCGTTGAGCGAGATGTTTGGGTCTGGGAGCACTGTGATTTTATTCGATCAGCGCATTGGGGGTGGCTGAGCGAGCGAATTGAGGGTCTGGTTCATTGTCTGATGAGCTTCGCTTAGCTAGTGATGTCGCAGAGTGTGAGTTCAAGGTCTGGTACAATTGAGAATTTTATTCGCACAACGAGTTGAGTCGCTGAGCGAGTGAATTTAAGGTTGTGGTCACTGTTAGTGGATTTGCACAACGAGCTGGGTCGTTGTGCGAGTAAAGTCTGTGGTCGCTCAGCGAGTGTGTGCACTGAGCGATTGTCCGAGGTTATCGTGCATTATTCTCTCCTTTGTTCTTTATTGGTTGGAGTAATGAAATTGATTTATTTGTGGATAATGTATGAGTATTATATGAGTATGAAAGTAAGGTTTATGGTTTTAAAATGGTGTGGAAGAGAATTCCATGGAGGAATTTCTCAGTGGTGATTGTCAAGTTTGTAAGTATGAATATGAGAAGCTCAATCTTAGTGTTCATCCTGACATTCTAATGGTCACCTATTCTCAAGTAGAGAGGGGTGGGACATGTTGTGAGAATAGCAGGAGGTCCTAGCCTAGGGGCTTTTCCTTGGCCTAAGGTGAGTTATAACGGAATAACATTGTGTGGTAGCTTGGGGTGGGCCAGCTGTTTCACCACAACAAGTGCACGAACTGCCATAGCTACATATTCATACTAATCCGGATTGTCAAGTCAAGTGTTGGTTAAATGCAAGGTTACTCTGGTTTGATATGGTTGTGTTGATCTACTTGAAATTTTAATTGTAATTATATATTATTACTTGTTTTTCTTCTACCTAATTGTATGTTTTCTTGATTTTCTCTTTTTGCGATGATCATCCTGTGAGTGTGAGGAGAATGAGATTAGGTATCTTTAGAGCAAACTCTTGATAAAAGTGATGTTGTAGAGTAGATGTCTCCTGAGTAGTAATTGTAAATAGTTTTGTTATAACATTTTGTATATAGAATTTAAATTTTATAGTATATTTTAGATGACGGTAAAAATTTACTTTATAGAATGTTCAATATCTATTTTATTATATTCTTATTACGATGACTATGTTATATTTTGAAATATTACGTTAATACTATGTTTTCACAACAAAATTACTTAAATGACATGAAAACAACAATTTTTAATATAAAGAAAATTCATCACTTCACATCACCAAAACTCATTATTATACATTGAAATATACAACAAATACAATCATTATACATAATATATATATATATATATATATATATATATATATATTATAATATTTTTCTCCATAAACTATCAATTTTAATACAAACAACATATCGCTTTAAAACTCCCTCGCATGAGAGAGAGATAGAATTAAAATACTGACAATGAATTTTCTATTAATTGAGTCTCTTATTCGACTCAAAATATTTGTTACAAAAAAATTTAGAGAAAAATAAAATGAAGAAAAAAATAGTATTTTTAAAATGTATTTTTTGTTTTAGATAATAAATTGAATATTTTTAAAGAGATTATTTTGCAGATATGACAATAATGTTGTGGTGGACAGTGACTCCTCAGTTCATGCATTAAATGTTTATGTAATGATTACCTTTCACTCTTTCTCCCTTTCGTCATTTCTTGGGCCAACCAATACTTTCCTACCCTATACTCTCGCCACCTTTTCCGTCTAGTTTTTATTTTTTTTTAAATCTATCAAATACTCTTTTATCATTAAAATCATTAAAAACTCTCCTCCAATATTTTTACACTTTATTATATATTATATATTTACATTAAAATTTAATAAAAAAGTCTTTAATCTAAGTTGTACTGAAAAAAATGAACTGAACAGATAACTCAAAACATTTGGTAATACTTTATACAGAGATTATTAATAAATAAAACTGAAAATCTTTTACTTTTTATTTAAATAATACTATTTTAATTTTTTTAACTAAAGTAGATCCTTGATGAATTATATATATATATATATATATATATATATATATATATATATATATATATATATATTACACACACACACACTTCACTATATCTTTTATAATATGCTATTTAAGTTTTTTCATCTAAATTAATTAAATATTGATTTTTCTTATTTTTAATGCAATTTTAAACAAGTTACCTTTGTATTTTTAAAATCTTCCATTTTAACCTATGTTTTTTCTCCGTTATTATAACTAGTTTTTCCTTCCATATTACTATAACTAAAAATTATATTATCTTTAAATTAATAAAATCGAAAGTTGATAAAAATTATGTTTATAAAAGATTGATAACTAAAAAGTAACAAAAGTATTCGATACAAGTATGATCTTTTAGATTTTAAGTAAAAGTGGCAAAGAGGATTACAATTTGGGAATTGACGGATTAACTTATCCTAAACACAGATTGCAAATTTTAATCTTATTTTAGCATTTTGGTATGGTTAGCCTAGTTTGTAAAGTTAGCAGGTTAAAGGAGGAACATGATAGATTGACATATTGAGATTTGTTAAATTAAAATAATAATAATAATAATAATTTAAAACATTAAATCTTTTATATTATATTATTTTAAAATGTAAATGTGTAATAGCCCTTTAACTTAAATCATTAACACGTTAATTATTAATAATAAAGTAATTAAAATATAAATATATGAAATATTTTAATTTATTTTTTTAAAATTATTAAGTAATAAATTAAGAAATTAAAAAATATTTGTGTGATTAAATATATTTTTTATATATATACACAGATAAAAAATTTAAAAATTGTAAAATTAAAAAAATTAATGTGTTGTTGGTGTTTTAGGTCATCATTTGACGGAACATGTTATAAATTTGATTCTGTTTTACTGTGATGGACTAATCCAATCCACTTTATTTTTAGCGGACTGGTCACAAATTGAGTTAAAACAAATTATTATTATAAACTAGTTTATTATTATAAACTAATTGTTATTTTATTTTATTTTCCAGAAATCTAGTTTATTATTATAAACTAATTGTTATTGATGTTGTTTGCAACTGATATGTATTAATGGATTCTTGATTAATTTATTAAGAATTGAAGAAATAGAAGAGATCTTATCTGATAAACCCAGATTAATCAATTTAATAATATTTTTATATCATAATTTATTTTTTAAAAGAAACAGCATACTTTTCAATTCCAATTCAATAAATTATGCAACATCTCATTTAACAATGTAATATTATAAAATAAAACTTTACATAATTAATAATTTAATAAAACTTTACATAACTAATAATTTATAAATAAATAAAGATATAGTATTTGTATTATTATAGTTATTCAAAATAACTATAGTAGCATATAACATGTTTTAAATTAACCTACTTTGAAGAACTAGAAACTAATCACATAATTACCACCATTTTTTAAAGATAAAAGTAAAACTTAGTTTAAACAATTATATATTTATACAGTTGAATCAACTTCTTTTTTTAGATAAGTCATACCTATCTTTTAATCTGCTTGTAACAATAAAGGTAATCATTAAAAAAAAACACACACAAACGCAAGAGAGGACAAATTAGTTTATGAAATAAATTATCAATTAAATTGATTTTATCATAAAATAGTGTATTTCAGTCATTTATAAAAAAAATCAAATATACAATTACAGACTTTTTAGAATCAATTATCCATATATAAGTATTGATGTATGATTCTCTGTGATTTGCATTCATGGTAACCTTTACTACTTTGTAGAGTCATTGTCCATGAATTTCATCCTAAAGATTAGTTCTTTCAATTGTCATAAGAACATTAAGGTAATTATTAATGACAATGCCGCTTTCACTACATAATTCATTTTACTTTACATGAGTCTTTGATGGATATTAGAGTATTGGGATAAATCTCTAGTATTGACTCCTTGTATCAATGCACACATTAAATGAATGACATCAAATAATTTTCCTACAAAATCTATGTAATTATGCTAAACTCACATTTTCATCCACAAACATGATTTCACATCAAATTCTAAATATCAAACAATAACTCATATTTTCATTCATCCACACTAAGTGATATCATGTTCATGATCAATTACAATCATAACATATTTTCATACATGTTCACATCCATTAACAAGTCCATTATCGTTAGAGTTCCATCAACAACTATATAAACAACCATATATCTTTTATTATTCAAATATCAAACCAAAACCACAAATAATAAACCTAAAATAAGACAAACATATAAGAGACTAGATTTTCTAACTATAGACTTTTAATACAAAATCTCATCGCTCAAAGTAACAATTCACGTGTCTTTGATTTAATATCAAAATTTCAACTTGTCCGTCTGTTAACAAAGCAAAAATTCTATTTTTCCAATATGTCATAAAACAAAAAATAGGGTGGCGCCAGTGGTGCCAGTGCCCCTAAAGACAATGGCCACAGTCTATGTGGTGCGTGATGTCATTAGTAAACTCAAACTTTGCATTTTGAGTTTGATTTGAATAATGTGACATTCTTTAAGCCAATTCTTAGTGTTTAAATTTGTTTAATGATTATAATTTTGTATTCCTTAGCTCAACCAATGTCATATTATCCAATTCAAATCTTACAAAGGTCTTCTTGATAATCAATAAATCAATTTTAAGTTTTTTACAAAAACAATACACATTAACCATGATTCTAAACGGATTCACGAATAATTTAAGTGAAAATAAATTTCAACTAATTTAACCTAATTTAAGTGAAAACCAACCCTTCAAGCAAACTAAACATGCAATTTCACAAATACAACCCATCACCCATTTTAACAAGTCAACACGAAATTTTACAAAAAATTAGTTAAGTTGACTTATCTCACCTAAAAAATATAGCCTTAAACACATGGATTTCGGTTCATGTAAGCTCAAACTCAATATAAAAACAACGTAAAAACAAGTTGATTGAACCAAAAGAATCATTGATTGACAAAGAACAAAAACAAAATCTGTAGGAACACATACAACCTAATAAGGATCGCTTACAAAGTTAAAAATATATTGAACATTGAAGGAGAACAAAAATTTCAATTTATCCAAATGAAGATTTTGTTTAGTCATATTACAAGAGTTCTATGCAATGAACGCAATCTTAATTTTGATCACAAAGAAGATTAAATTTTGAGTGACTAGACATTTTAATTTTTTTTAAAAAACTTCCAAATATAGTTTATTTAAACAATTAAAATAACAAATATAAAATATAAATCTATTTATATTTTTTTTGGTTTTTTTTACCATTTCAGTAAAAATATACATGTTTTTTCATTTTAAAATTAAGTAATTGGGCCAGGAAAAAAAATATTGCATGAACAATAAAAAGTAAATTTAGATGTATTTGTAAGGTAACTGCTGGAAAGATAAGAACAAAATTTAGGTTGATTGTATTAAGAAAAAATATAGATAGGATCCAAAGGAAGAGTTTTTTAAGTTTGCTTTTTTTTTTTTGTTTTTTTTACATCACAAAAGAAGTGTGTTAGAGATTGTTCCAGGAAGTTGCTTATTGTAACTTTTTTATTGGATTATTCTGACATAACATTTTAAACATGTTGATGGTTTTTTGTTTTAGTGAATTATTTGATTTAATAAATAAATAAATAAATAAATAAATAAATTATTTGACCGTCTCTTCTATCTCTTATTTCCACTATACAATGTTTTTAATAATAAAATATTACATTTAACTAAAAAAATATAAACAAAATTCTATATTGAAATAATACTATTAGAGGTATTAAATTATAATATAAAAAATATACTCTTAAACTATTATGGTCCAATAAAAAAATATTTCCATATAAAAAACATTTCCTTAAAGGTAAAAAATACACAAAATTTTAAAGTATAGTTAAACAATTGTTCAAATAAAATATATTTGAAACACAATAACGTAAAAATTAATAAAATAAATAATTTCTTCAATTTGTTTGAAATAATTTATTTCAGAGATAAAATTAATATGAACTATTTAACTATAATGTGAAACTGTAAAGACTATATAACAAGTAACTGGAGGTCACAAGAAATGTTTAAGAAACTTTTATAACTAATCATTGTGAGATATGTTCCAAAAATAACACAAATACTCTCTTTTTTAATTTTTCTCTTGACATAGATGTTATTATAGATGGGATAAAAAAAATAAAATTTATCTTTTAATTTTTCTTATATTAATTTGTTTAAACAATTATATTCTTCAGCAGTATTTTGTCCATTTCTTTTTCATCTTCATCTAGAAAAGCCGATGAATTTTTAGACAGAGAACTTAACAAGTTTTTTATAACACAAATTATCTCCCTAACATGTTGGTAAAACATATATTGCATTCATCTATCAAGTTTTTTTTTTATCAATAATGTTTAATTTAACCAATTAAAAATTCCTTAATTATTATAAATTTTTTAGTTTTTTTCTAATCCTTGTGAATATCTTCTTATCCTTATATCAAAATTTTCCTGCATCCAAGTTCAGCAATATAATTACACACTTTTGAACTTTTTCTAACTGGTTAAAGCATCTAATTATTGTACCCAAAAAAAAATCTCATTCAAAATATGATTTTATTCCTTAAAGCCTATAAAAAAATGCAATTTTGTTAACAATAACTAATGAAGTTATTTTTAAATAATTTAAATTAATATTTCAGTACAGTTTTTTTAAACCTTAATTATACCATATAATTATGGTATAAATTTTTGTGTGGACAAATGTCTTAAAAAAATGGTTATATATTCACTTTGGAGTGAGTGTCTTAGTCTGTAGTCACACCTTATCAAAATATTATTAAGTAAATTAGGTTTTCAAATATAGAAATGAAAAATAAAAAAAAATGTGTTAACCTTACATTTTATATAAGAAATATAAAAATAAGTTATTCAGTCAGTCATTTAAACGTTTCTTCGTAATCTTTTTAATAGAATAATTACTTATGGACAATTTTTATAATTTAGATAAATTTATTTAAAATGCACAAAAGGACAGTTTTTGAGAAAATGCTACATAGAATGAATACAGCATGATTAAAATGTAGGTATTATCTGTGAAAATTTTCTATATAATAATATTAATTAATAATTGATAATTGTTATAAAAGAGACAAAATTTAGAAGGTACTACTGGAATATCTATAAAAGGAGGAGCAGTAATGTGATAAATGTTCAAGTCATTCCTTCCAACAGTCTTTTAGCTATTTCTTCTTCCTCTCATTGGAAAACCCATATAATCATCACACACAACCCATTTTTGCACTGCACCACTCTCCTTTTTCTCCCTCTTTCTTTCTTCTCCAGACCTTTCTCTATCATCAGACACTCTTCTCACCATGGTTTCTCTCAATCCAGACGCACCTGAATTTTTACCCACTCATGCGATGAAGCTTCACAAAAAAGAACAACCTTTTACGTGTCCCAATTTCCCCACTTCCTTCTACTACGTTGTTTCTTCTTTCCCTTCTCGAGAACTTCACCCTTATGTTTACTACTCCACCACAATGCTTCCACCACCTTCTATAACCATCCCTTTGGCACCACAATCTGAACCATTCTGTATCCATGGAATGAAAAAGGGACCTAATCCAGTAAACCAGAAGAAGGATGAAGTGGTTGTAGACGAAGACCTAAAGCGTGGCTCAAAAGAGCTTGTGCAGAAGCAAGTGTTTAAATCTTACATAAGTCACAGAACAATGAATGGTCAAAGTTCTGAAGGTACGAGGATGAAGACTTACTTGCCGAGAAAGAAGGGAGAACAAAAGGGTCAACACAAAAGCTTTGACTTTTCAAGGAACGGAAATATTACGATGCACCCAGATGAACAGTACTGCTGGAGGGGTTATCCTAAGAAGAAACGGTGTTTTCGTCTGTTGCCTGTTAGGGTGGAGAAGAATGAAACCACTGTCATGATCAGAAATATTCCTAGCAAATACAAGTATGTGATTCTATAGTATAATATATAATAACTTTGCTTATTCCCTTTTGTGTCTGATTTTATTTTTTGAAAACTGTATCGGTCAACTTTCAAGGCCTGTGATGGGTTGTTGAAGTTATCATTTTTTGTAATTTGAGATTATTGTTCACGCAGCCGAGATATGCTGGTGGAGTTTCTGGATAGTCACTGCATGAAAGTGAATCTGAGAGACAAGGAGAAAGGCGAAGAGGCCTGTTCTTTAGCTTTTGATTTTGTTTATTTGCCAATTGATTTCAAGTAAGTTGGTCTATTCAATTTGTGTGTGTTTAGCTTTGTTTTCTTTTTTAGTGTGTAACATTGATTATAATTTTGTTCGTGTTTTGCAGAACTGGGATGAACAAGGGTTATGCTTTCGTGAACTTCACCAAAACCCAGGCAGCTTGGAAGTTTCTTTTGACAGCCTCCAACATGAAATGGGACTTGTTCCAGTCCCACAAGATACGTGAAGTGTTTTCTGCACGTTTGCAGGTATAGAGTTACATACACATAAAATCATAGAATAGACTTAATCATTATTCTTACTGTTTAAGCATTAATATTATTATATATGTCTCTTCATCTGTTCAAATGCTATTTTCATTAAAACTAATTTAAACCATTAGAGACTAAATTTACAATTGTATAATGCTACATATAGTTAGTTTAGTTCTTTATTAACATAAAAGACTTGTTTTTATATTCTGTTTTACTGCAATATAGGGGAAAGAGAGATTAGAGAAGCACTTTGAAACTATGAGCTTTCCGTGCGAGTCCGAGGATGTTCTGCCGGTGTGCTTTAACCCACCACGTGATGGTGTTATAAAAGGAAAACAAATAACATGTGGGAAACTGTTGAAGCGCGAACAAGTTTGAAGAGAGTGATGGCAAAGCTTTCTAAGTTGGTTGAAGATGGTTCAATGTTTCTATGTATTTGTTAATATGCATGCATGTTTTTATATCTGTTTAGTAGTTTAGGTTGTGTTGTGGTAATTGTAGTATTCATATGATGAAACATGATTTTGAAAGTTTCCACGAATGGGTTGGGTGGACCCTGGCCACTTGATCCCATGATATGAACAAGGTTGTGTGGTGGGGTCCACCCTTTCTGTCGTGAGGCTCAACACTGAATCAAGCCTTATGCTAATGAAGTTTTCTTTTGCAGTGTTTCCTCTGTTGGTATAAGGATCCTCCTTTTATCTGTTTGTGTATATATATATTTGGTAATGTATTTAGCTTGTATCCGACGAAAGCTGGAGCTGTTTTTTCGGCTGAGGGAATATTTTTTAATGCGTTGTGTCGTTTATGTTTCTATTTGTGGTAATGTCGCAGTTCGTTGCTGCGAAAGTTCAAATGCTTGATGTTAGTTTTTGTGATATCTGGCATGTCTGGGTTTTAGTCAGCGCCTGGAGATATGTATGAAGTCAAAGGGCACAACAAACGTTGTCTGGGGTCAGTGTTAGGTTCTGCATGGATCATTTGCTTTTGAGATTGTGCTTGCTGGGTCATAAGATTTTAACCCTTTTGAAGCAATTGGAGAATTAATGGGTCAGTCATAGTAGGTGTTTTGTGCTCTTTAAAAGATGGTTAAAAATGGTGAAGATTGGGGGGTTTAACTTTTTCTGAGTATGGACTTTTGGAAAGAAGAGCTTGTTTTGTTTGTCCTCAACAAATTTGGAACTATTTTTATTAATAATCACTTTGCTCTTGAAACTGGTATGCTTTTTGTGGCTCTTTAAAACCTTGGCTTTCAGAAAACGATGCTGTAGTTTCATGGAATTGGTGGTGAATGCAAGTAGTTTGGGAGTTGTGACTTTTATAATTGTAAAATGAATGTGACCTTTTTCAACTTAGACAAATTTCCGATTCAAAATATTTAGTTTATTAAATGTAGAAACGTTGGGAGTTGCTTCCTACGTAAATTTTGAATACAAGGTTGTTAAAATTTAAATGTAATAGTGTATTATGAAAAAGTACACTATTTTATTTTCTCTTTTTGCATCACCAAACAATTTGGATATAGAAGTAATTTTTTCTTAAGATAAATTATATGGAATGGTGTGCAATTTATAAAAAAATAGCAGTGCTGTGAAATTATGACTATATAGTATGAAGGCTAAATGACGAAAAATTTTAAAAAAATAACAGTGAAAAGTTCAATGGTGAGAAGTCTATAAATGGGGGGTGTTGCGAGAATCGAACTCGCGACCTCTCGCACCCGAAGCGAGAATCATACCACTAGACCAAACACCCTTCTGATGATAATGCTTTCTTCATTTATTAAATATATCTTGGTTTCTTCTGTGCCATCTTTTTAGGCCCAAGCCTCAGTGCTAAAGAGTCAGATACTATCTACTATCTCAGGATTCATCCGAACCAAAATGGCGGCAGTAGCAGCAATATCCTCTCATCTAATGTTTGTTCTTCGTTTACAGCCATTGCCATTATCACCCTCTTCTTCTTTCTTTTCTTTCCTCAAACCTCTTGTTTCGTCTCCTAATAGTATATCTACACCCTTTCCACGTCTCCAATTTCCACCGCTTCGAAAATCTCTCTGCTCCATTTCCTCTTCTGTTGTGGTTTCCGAAGACGGCGAGGAAACAGAGATTGGGGATGATGAATTGGATAGTGAAAGAGGCGATTTTGGAGATACCCAATTAGATTCAACGTCGTCGCCGTTGGTGAGAAAGAGGGAGGAGAGGCTGAAATTGGAGGTGCCGAGTCTCAGTGTGAAAGAAAGGAAAGAGCTTGCGTCTTATGCTCACAGTTTGGGGGATAAGCTCAAGACCCAGTTGGTCGGAAAATCTGGTGTTACGTCCAATGTTGCCACCTCTTTCATTGAGACCCTTGAAGCCAATGAACTTCTCAAGGTATCGATCAATTACGTCAGTTTCTCGGTTTGATTGTGGTTGTCCTTTTTGTTTTCATGAATTTTTCTGGTGCTTGGAAAAAGGAACCGTTGGTTGTATTTTTCTTGCTCTATGGCTGATTGTTGCTTGAAATATTTTCATAAAACTCAGTATTGCACTTAAATTAGTTGAAATTTCGTGTGGCTTGAGGCATTCATTTACGTTGCATACCTAGAAAACAAAATGCGATTTTCACTTATTTTTGGCTGGATTTAATCTCTACTAGTCACTAAATTAGGTTGCTGTAGACTGCAGGAACTGTTTTTTTATCCACATAATTGTTTCTACTACGGTGTCTTCATAGTGTTTCCTCTGTTGATTTGTAACTTGAAAATGAAAAAAACTTTTTTCAAAATCTTGGATGGTATTTACAGATTAAAATACATAGGAGCTGTCCAGGTGAGTTAGATGATGTGGTGAAGCAGTTGGAAGAAGCAACTGGTTCGGTGGCTGTTGGTCAAATTGGTCGAACTCTGATCATATATAGGCCCAGTGCAACCAAACTGAAAGAGGAAGAAAAGAAGAAACAAGTTCGTAACTTTATTCTGAAAAAGCAACTAAATTCAAGACTAGTTAACAAGGTAAGAGTTGTGCCGTTATGTTGTTTTGCATAAAGTATTGTGTTCAATTGCGACGTTTCCCTAATGTTCTTAAGAAACTACAGAGTAGGGTTCAAGTTCCCAAATTATCGCGGCCTGGTTCTTCATGGAAAGGAAGAAAAAGTAGGCCATAAACACATTCTACTTGTATTGAGGTTTGTCCTGGTTCTCCTGCCTGACCAAGCTTGAGGCTATTGCATGCATAAAAACCAAAGGTCATGGAATTGGATGTTTATTGGCAGAAGAAAATACAGTTAACGTTCATTTTAAATCAATGAACGCTTCAATACGAGAATAGAACGACTAGAGAGCATGACAATGCAGTGAGTTTGGTTAGGATTGAAGACCAAATCAATAGATTCTACGGCGATGAACTTATTGTATTTGCAATTATTATTAATCAAAACTCTTGCTGAACACACCGTTGTCAATAACTTAAAAACCTTGATTAAATACATTACATTTTAATAATCTTTTGTTGGTAACAAAGGACATCTTTTAATGAGATGAACAATTGTTGATTGGCAAGCTGCAATTAATGTGACTTTAACGTGGCTTTTGAATTCTTCTTCTGCTATGAGTATTTTAAAATTTAGGCAGCAAGTAGTTGGACATTGTAATTCACTGTAGAACGCGTATAGTTTTATTGTAGATTTTCTCGTTTCACGTTAGAATCACGTTGAAACTGAAACTTCCGTTATTTCAGTTACGTAGGAAAAAATTGATTGGGTCTAGAAATACATTTTACAGTGTGTTCATTGATTGGGTCTAGAAAATTGATGTGCTGACTTGCACATCGTTTAACTAAAATCAATTTTGTACATTTGATTCAAAATCAATTTTTGCCAATAAATAGAAAGATCTATTTTATAAAACCAAGGCCACAAGTCAAGTAGTCCTCAGCTTTCGCAGCTCATGCTGATCTGTGTTTCCTGAGTACAAAACACCCTTGGGAGAAAGAAGGCGCTGAAGGGCAATTGAAAAGCGAGCCTATCAACCAGAACAGAATTACAAGTCAGAATACTTGGAGAACTAGTGCTTCAACTTAACACAGGCTAAGGGTCTTATTCTTACCCATTGAAATATTGCGAGGGAAAACCAGCACCCAAGTAAACCAAATCTACTGCTCATGGCCTGGGCATCACAAAAAATTGTGCGTTTCAGGCAAAATTGGGCAATCAAGATTACTATGAGTTCCCCGAGCTTAAGGAAAGGTAGTTTACCCATAATAGCAGTGAACCCACGCAAAAGCATCCAGTCATTGACAAACTTATAAATCTCAGGTCCCGCCCAGCCTGCATGAGTAAAAAAGTTCTAATATGGATTTTTGGAGACACGCAAGTCCCTATTTTGAATCAGTAGTGCCGAAAATAGAACAAGTTTGACTGCGGTGTCGGGAATAAAATAGCTTACAACTAGTCTTTTTTAGCTTATGCTAATAATCTTCTAAGCAAACTTTTCAAGAGCAAGTTGGTAGTTTATTCTAATAAGTTTTATAGTCAAAGTTATAACATAAGCTCTAATGAATAAAAGCTTCACAAAGCTGTGTAACACAAACACACCAGACGTCCTTTGAACGTACTGAAAAAGTTTTATATGCCTATTTTTTCCCATTTATATAAAGATTTATAAAGATTTAACGAACATACCAGCAATGTTCCCTCGAGGCTATGAGTAGGGGGGGTTATAGACAGTGCTATAAAGTATGGAATCAGCACCTTATGCATCTGCACAGTCATGATTACAAAAACATCAGTTAACAGTAATCTTATCAAAATTTCAAAATATATTAACTAATTCACAAAAATTGCTGCATTTCTGTTTTGTTTTCTCTGTTGCTTGTGTGCGGTCCAACCAGGCACTGGTTCAGTAACCTGTCAGTACACCCTCTTCAACTGAGTGTTTGGAAATCAGAAAAGAATTAAGTGAACCAGCCTGTTTCGTACTTAACTGGTTTGAGGTTCTTGTACAAAATGGTAAAACTTTAACCCTAGGATTCAAAACTTGATATGTCCAGCTTCATCACCATGTCACGCTGCTGGCCACTAAAGCTGGTCGTTTATTTAAATTTTCTTTTAATAATAGTCCTTTTCGATTGTGTTGAATCTATGTGGCAACTTAAATTCATTCATTTATTGGTTCAAATCTATTAAATTTTAACAACGCATGACACATGATATGATCTTTTATGTTACTTTAAAATCTAAACAAACTCAATCTCTATAAGCATAACATTTGTTTATTAATCTGATTGTGTAACAATTACATTGGTTCAACCCTCAAATACATAAACTCTGAACTACAATATTTACAGTTTTAATATCTGATCTGTTTTTAAAAATATTATTGCACATGTAATGATTTAAATCATAAACTCCCAAAGGACCAGACTAACAAGGAAAAATCGTAATTTAACTTCGAAATACTTGATTGACTATACCGGCACGTTTTCAAACAAGTTGCAAAGCACAAAAGGGGGACCAACATAGATATGAAATCTAAATTATAAAAAGGAAAGAACTGACCTCCTGAATGACCATCCGATCAGGTGTAAAAATGTATGGAAATAACCAAGGAACCGATGTTCCAACAATCCCTAGCAATAATCCAAGTATGATTCCGATTGTCAGAAGAGACCTTAGGAGCAATTGGGCCTGTAATGAAAAATTTGAAAAAGAAGAAATAAAAAGAAGAAATGATTAGAAATTATCGTCTTATAACATGAATGTCAACTAAACACGAGTGATGGAGACCTTAGATATGAGGATAGGGCAGAGATCCTTGGACATCCGAGTATGATCTGTGACATTATAAATGAGAAACACTTACCTTTGATAAGCTGCGATTAGCTCCGTATATCAATTCAGGCATAAATGATTGAGCAGTTTGGGAGAGAGGTTCACCCCAAACAGTACACATGGAATATGTTTGGACCATTACCTGAAGCAAACATTTACGTTATCATTCGCCTTAAATTTGGTTTTCACGGAAAAACCTCAATTAGCAAATAAAACTAACTTGATGAGCAGCCATTGTATGTGTACCCAATGATGTAGCGAAATATATAAGCAGTGAGTAGAAAGCCACCTAAACATTAGAACTTCATATTACATTAAAAAGCTTAAACTAATCCAGACAAAGATACAGATTTAGTATAATGATGGAGACAACCTTTGACATCATTGTCATAAATACAGGAGCAGCAAGCCCAAATATCATCAGAAGTTCCTTCCCTGACGGAATGGAGAAGGCAAGTGCATTATATCCCTTTTTGTTTAGAGTTTTAATCATCATGCAAGCAGCAACAACCTAGAATCAGTATGAGAATAGAAAAACAGTATATGACGAGTTAGAGACAGTACTTTGAGAGTAGGAAAAGCCACATATAATACAATTCAATACATTACAATGCATAAGGGTTAGCTCAGCATACTTGTGAAATCATTGTAGCCCACGCTGCCCCTACAATTCCATAGCCTAACCAGTTGCACAAAACTATGCAACCAATAACATTTAGAACAGTGGCAGCAGCCAAGGACTTCAAGGGTCCCAAGGAATCTTTCATGCCAAGACTACAGAATGTGAAATTAAATTAATAAACCAATGCTCACTCTTTTTCCGAAACCATTCCAGACATTTGGCATTATAAGCTCTTCCAATTGTAAGAGCAGAGCCTAAAAAAGGTTATTTACTCAGTTTTGAAAGAGGAAACTGCATACTTAGTTCAAAATACAAGATACAGACTATACATTCAACATATAGAGGTAAATTAACCTTGTGTGAGAAATGCCAAAGCAAGGGAATTTTAGCCAAGCCAATAGTTTCCATCAATATATAAAGACAAATCTAATATTATTACGAATATTATTTTCAACATGATATCAATATTCAAGCCTCGAATCATTAACTCAGGATCAACAAAACCTATCGCCCCAGAGAATCAGATGTCAGAAATCAAAAGCGTATTTGCACCTTGCACTTTGAGAAACCCATCCAACAAGTAAAGCAGGCCACGCCAAGCCTCGAATCTAACAAAAACAGAGTAACCAAAAAATCACTGCAATAAATTAAGAGGGGTACACCACAGTTTATAATTAGGAAACACAAAGCAAAATATTATTAGCAGGTTTTGAGAAATGTCTTGTTATTATTACCTTAATCTAGAATTGCCAAAAAACAAAATTGATGAAATATAAGGGGTGTTTACTTGCATTTTTATTTCCCATTTTCAAACTACGAAGCAGCACCTCATTTTCAATTTGTTATTAAGGATTTGTAGAAGAAACACAAACAAATTTGCAGTATAAATATTTGAAAATAAGAGGCAAATTATAAGGGAGGTTGCCAATTTGTAAATAAAAAATGAAAACGGATAGTAGAAACACACGTAAACACCCTCTGCATTACTTTCCTCCATAAATAACATGTCGAGTAACTTCTTGAATTCATAGAATGTTAATTACAATCTTTATTATTCGAATGACAAAAAAACATGTAGAAACAAACCTTTACATAACTGCTAGCTGCAGGTACTATGTGTGCATTCTTTGACCCAGTGAAAGCTGAAAAAGCATAAATAGAAAAATCACCAGCTATGGGATTGACTCTGCTACCCTTTCAGCACAAGTGAATTATTGTTTTCAAAACGTATCAAAGAACACAGGTGGCTAAAGCACTCTATTTTCAATACCAGTTATTATTGCAGAACCAAATAACCTTGTGAACAAAAGCATCATAACGCCACAAGATAACCCAACAGAAACCAAGATAGATATGTGATGTTGCACTTCTTGTTTGTCCTACATAAGTTCGTGATAAAATTGGTATAAGTCCCAAAAGTGCACAAGTTAAACATGCAGATTGGAATAAACAAGGTGATGTAGATTTAGTCAAATAAAGTAATGCTAGATAAAGATGTGGCCATTGCATTACCACATGTTTAAATATTGCAACATTGAAGGTTAAGGTGTCGATACTATGTTTTTAATGAAAGACACGCTACAGGAAGGTATTATTGTGCCTTGAATTCAACCCTTTTTCTATCCTATTATTTAAAAAATGGAACATGAAGATTTTGTATTGATTATAGAGATATGAACGTAATTATGATGAAAGACAGTTTTCCTATGCCGATTATTTTTGAATTAGATGGAACAACTTATTTCTCTAAGCTGAATTTAAGATTCGGATAAGGAGGAGGATAAACATAAGATAACATTTATAACTCACCACGACCATTATGAGTGGTTGATGAAGTCACTTGGGCAATAACTAATGCCCCTACAACTTTTGAGAGCTTAATGGATGAAGATGAAGCTTTTCAAGGTCTTCTTGAGGAAATATGCCTTAGTATTCTTTGATGATATATTGATTTATAGCTCTTATCAGTCCTCCCATTAGTCTCATTTGGAGGTGGTAC